TCTCGGCAGCCTGGGGTTCACCGGTTCAGATGCCGGGTACAGACATGGCACCACTTGGCAAAAGCCATGCTGTGGTAGGCATCCCACATATAAAGTAGAGGAAGATGGACATGGATGTTAGCTCAGGGCCAATCTTCCTCAGCAAAAAGAGGAGGATTGGCAGCAGTTAGCTCAGGGCTAATCGTCCTCAAAAAAAAACAAAAACAAAAAAACCCCCAAAAAGAATTAACGTTCCTTTTGAAATGACAATTTTTCTTGCAGTTTTTTATAGATTCTTGTCACTTTCCAATGACTATGTGCTCCACATATCTTTTTATTGAAGATTCTGACAAACTTTATAACTTTTTTTCTTTTTTTGCTTTTTCTCCCCAAATCCCCCCAGTACATAGTTGCATATTTTAGTTGTAGGTCCTTCTAGTTGTGGTATCTTGGACGCCGCCTCAAGAGGGCCTGATGAGCGGTGCCATGTCCGCGCCCAGGATCCGGACCATGAAACCCTGGGCCACTGAAGCGGAGCATGAGAACTTAACAACTCGGCCACGGGGCCGGCCCCATCTGACACACTTTAGAGCCCTTAACACCTCCAAAGTAAATTTTCTTCTTTATTTTTTTAAAAATTTATAATAATGTGTAGAGCATTGGTGATGGGGAGAATAGTATTTATCCTTCCATGGTTGACACGGAAAACAACTATATTAATTTTAGAAATAGAGTTCCTCTAGATCCACAGCACATGAAAATGGCACCGATCACTCTCTGCAGTTGTGTTTATCTGTCAGTAAGTCAGCAATGAACCCCTTTGATTTGTAGTCCAATAAAGATTCAAATTATTCAAATTAGACTTGATTTATTAATGTTTAGAGATTACAATTTTTCCAATATGGAAGAAAATAGGAGGAAATATATTGATTTGTCAGAGAAAATCATTGGCAAAACAACAGGAATTGGGAAAAATCTTCATATTTTTCCCCAAGACACACACACACACTTCCAAAATAAAATTGAAATAAATCTATAAAGCAGTGGTGAAAGAAAAAGAAGTCACAAAAGATAGGATGCTTCTTATAACAGTGGTTCTCAGGCTTTTTGGATCAATTTCCCTGGAGGGGACAAAAGATCCTAACACCCATATTTGACTCATTCCCATTTTTCAGATGGGAGTGGGAGAGGTGACTCTTAATAACAAATGTTGCTGAACAATTAAATTTAGAGGAGATTATCTTTATGACTGCTTTAACATTTGGGTTATAGACAATATAATTTTTAATCCCTGATCCCTTGTTTTAACATGTGGTTGGTGGGAAATAAAGGACCCTAAATAGGGTTGATGTATTTGTATCACTACATACTGTAGGCATAACTGATGAAACACAAACTAAATTCAAAATGACAAACAGCAATGTATAATTAAAAAGCAAGTAGAACAGAATTGAAACCCAAAGCTACTCAAGATAACACAGATGATATACTGATAAAGTGCGCTTCCACAAAGTTGAGGGAATTGATGTAATTTATGAGATTCAAGAGAACAGATTCCCAAATCATTTCTTCCATTGCTTTCACACTTAGATATGACTCAAACTTCTAATTTTAGAGAGGAAAAATAATTTAAAAAGTACTTTATCATCCCTTTCTATGTCCAGGGCGGATTATCCACTCCCTGAGTAGCAGGAAAGAACAATGTCTCATCACTTGGCTCAGGTGGTCAACTTAAGGCAAAAATCTCATAATCCAGGGATTAATGAAGCCACCAGTGTCACACAGAGGATCAGAGCAGAGGTGAGTTATCCCTGCATCACCACTCCTGCCACCCTTCCTCTGTCCCCAACTTGTCCCATGAGGGATTACATATGTAACTTGAATGGTTCTTTCAATCCTTTCAGTTTTTGGATCCAGGTTATAATTATTTTATCTCTAGAATGGGAGATAGAACCCATTTTATATAAGAAAGGGGCGAGGAAAGGGCAACCTGCTACCAGTAATCAGACTCAGCAGTGGAACAAACAGATTTGAAGCATCGACTTTAGTTGGTTATTATACTGATACCACAAATTGTCAACATGGAGGATTGTGGCTTGCCATTTCTGAGTCACTAAAAGTAATGTTAATTATCTGGCCTTTGTTTATTGTGAGCAAGCATGTAACCATTTTAAAGTTATATAACAAGAAACCCAAATGTTATTAAACTTAGGAGGGAAAACATGAAGTTGGATGGGGAAACACATGTAACTTCTTTTTTTCTAAATGCCCTGTTTTACCAGTTGAAAATGAGAAAATATCAATTATAATACAGGTTATAACGGGGCACAAAATTGAGGAGATATAAGCAGTAGAACATCTTTGTGTTGTATTAATTTAAGTGGAGGAAAAGATAAATATGTGATCTTAAGTGAAAATATAAAGTAAAATAACCTACCTTTGCCTCAATTATTCCATTAATTTATATAAAAGTGGGAGAATGATGAATTCTCTGTATTAACTCCTGGTTAATTGTTTCCTTTCATGCACTTGAATTAATCTTTGGAGTATGATTGTTTTGCTTTTTCCTGATAAACTACATCAAGTCTTGGTTTCCACAGGACTGTATTTGGTGGTTGAATATATTTTCTATTCCTGCAATAACAAATATCACAAATGTAGTGATTTAAAATGAAACCTATTATTTCACAGTCTTGGCATGGGCTCAACCGGACTCTGCTTAGATTCTCACAAGGCTGAAATCAAGGTGTCAGCATGGTCATGCTCCCTTTTGTAGTTCGAGGTCTTCTTCCAAGCTTATGTATTTGTTGGCAGAATTCACAATTCTGTATTCTGTGTTCAAGAGTACAGGCCTGAAGGCTGGCCTTCTTGTTGGCCATCAGCCAGGGGCTACTCTCGGTTGCTAGAGCCACCTGCCTTTCCTGCCACATAGCTCTCCACAACATGGCAGTTTGCTTCTTCAAGGCCAACAGTAAAGCATCTGCTGGTGCTCAGAATCTCCCTGACTTCTCCTGACATAGAGAAAGTAATAAAAAGGCTTAGAACATTCCCTCCTTTTGCTCAAAGTGTAGCATAGTAGAGATGGCAAAGGTTCTGTTCTAACTCCTAACCTCTCATCCTCACCAATGGTGCTCTGGGGCCCTAGAAGATCCCTTTACAGTCAGAGGGGTGAAAGCTATGTGGACATCTGTAGGTAAAGGGAGTTTGGGCAGTGCATTTGATGGTAACAGGTAGGGAAAACCTAAACAAAAATTTGACAAATCTTTGCTCTAGGTTTCTTAGAATTCTATCTGTGATCAAGCTCAGAAAGGGAGATCCCTGAATGTTGGCACACCTAAAATAAAAGTCATTCCTGACAAAGAAGCCACTGTTAGCAAAGGTTTCTTGGTGTGTTTGGGTGAAGACTGGGTGACGCTGGCCACTGCGGTGGGAAAGTCACACAGGCTCAAACCACCGTCTCTAAGCTGATGGACCTTGGATCTGGCAAATACTGCTTCCTTAGTCAGTTCTCTCAAGTTTTCTTTAGCAACTTTTGTAAACACCTGCCACTTTCCTTCCACCCTTCAGCAGGTAACCAGGCTTCACTCAAAGGAAAACAGACCATTTGTAAGGAACTCTCTCACTTGTCAGAAATGTCCACTATCTATCCATTCTTTATCTGTCCTTTCCTTATTCCTTCCAATGACGGTGAAGATGGTATCCCTTGTAAGGGACACACCAGTCCACCTTCTCAGGGGCCTTGTATTATCTCTTCTCATCTTCTTACCTCCTCCTTTATTCTGGCTCATTCCCATCAGTATTTAAGCTTCTTCCAATTTCTCCCTTTTGAAAGCTAACCTTCTCTCAACACCAGGTACCGCTCTAGTTATTGCCCTGTGTCTCTGGCATCATAGTCAAACCTTCTGCAGGATTCTCTGCAAAGCCTATTTGCTCTCTGTCGTCTGGGTCCCCAAGGTCCGCCTAGAACGGTTTATCCTATAGTAGGCACTGCCCAATTTTTAAAGTATATGTTGGACGGATAGATGAGACTCCGAGGGTGCAGATGATAAAGTCATCTACAGCTTGTAGCCTGGGATGTTGGATGACTCACTGGGTTGAGAAACTTTATCTTTCTGGTGTGTATAGGTAATTTGATCTATGCTTTCATTCTGAAATAAAGTTATGAAAAGTTAGTAGTCGGCCACAAGCAACAAGTATGAAAACAAGTTGGAGAAACACGGCGGCGCTGCACTACCAGTTAGCCCCTCACGTGAGAACACAGGTCGACCCCATCCAAGGGCCACGAATCCGCCACTCCACCGGAGGCAGCCGGGACCCAGGCTGGCCTTCCGCCGGAACCGGCTTTACGGCTCCAGGGCAGCCTAGGTCTCGGAGCCTGGGGGTGGGGGTGAGGGGAAGAGCCGAGCGGCTCCCGGCCAATAGCAGTTCTTGAACTTACACCTACGGACGCCAGCGCGGCTGTGCAAACGGATGTCACACAGCTGGCTCGGAAGCGTCTCCTCCCGCCCCACAAAGGGGGCGTGGGCCTAGCGGCCTCCGAGAAACCTTGGGCGACCGGAGGGAGGTGCGTGCGCCGCTCCCCGCGAGCCCTACGTCCTCGTCGGCCCGCTTCTTCCCAGCAGTCCCTGCCTAGCGGCCGTCCCGGGTGAGCAGCCGGGCGCCCGCGCCCCCGCCCCGAGCGCGCCGCCGCCGCCGGCTCCGCCCCCTCCCCGCGCGGGCCGCGCGCTCCTGCGGTTTCGAGCTGAGTCGCGGGCGCGCGCGCCGCCGGCGGAGCCGCAGTTAAAATGGTCCGAGCGGGACTTCGCATGCCCCTGCCGCCGCACTGACTGACTGAGCCGGCGGGTCGGGCTCGGACTGGTCGCCTAGGCGGCAGGCTCGCTCCCTCCGTCGCGTCCCCCAAGCTCGCGCCCATCGTTCTCCCGGCTTCCCTGGGCAAAGCATGTAGCCCCCGTCGGGCGCCGGGGCGGCCCGCAGCTGACGCCCACCCCCCACCGTCGCGTGTGTGCCCGTGTGTGCGTGTGTGCGCAGGGCGGGCGACCCCGCCGCGGGCCCGAGGCCGAGCCAGCGAGCGGCCTGCCCCGTTGCCGGGAGCCCGCCTCTCCGGGCCTCCCTACTTCCCCATCCCGGTCCCTCTCCTCGGGGCCTTCTATATGGGCCACCTTCTCTCGAAGGAGCCGCGTAACCGCCCGAGCCAGAAGAGGCCTCGCTGTTGCAGCTGGTGCCGCCGCCGCCGTCCTCTCCTCAGGCTGCCCCGCCGGACCCCGGCCAAGGCGCCCCCCCAGCCGGCGGCGCCCCGGAGCCGGGACTGCTTCTTCCGCGGGCCTTGCATGCTCTGCTTCATCGTGCACAGCCCCGGCGCGCCCGCCCCCGCCGGCCCAGAGGAGGAGCCGCCGCTGTCGCCGCCGCCGCGGGACGGGGCCTACGCCGCGGCCGCCTCCTCGCAGCACCTGGCGCGGTGCTACGCGGCCCTGGCTGCCGAGGACTGCGCTGCCGCCGCCCGCCGCTTCCTGCTCTCCTCGGCCGCCGCCGCCGCCGCCGCCGCCTCGGCCTCGTCGCCCGCCTCCTGCTGCAAAGAGCTGGGGCTGGCTGCGGCCGCCGCCTGGGAGCAGCAGGGCCGGAGCCTCTTCTTGGCCAGCGTGGGGCCCGTGCGCTTCCTGGGGCCGCCCGCCGCCGTGCAGCTCTTCCGGGGGCCGCCGCCGCCGCCAGCCGAGCCCCCCACGCCCCCTGAGATGGTGTGCAAGCGGAAGGGGGCCGGGGTCCCCGCCTGTACCCCCTGTAAGCAGCCCCGCTGCGGCGGCGGGGGCTGCGGCGGTGGAGGCGGCGGCGGAGGAGGGCCCGCGGGGGGAGGCGCTTCGCCGCCGCGGCCCCCCGACGCCGGCTGCTGCCAGGGCCCAGAGCAGCCATCGCAGCCTCTCTGTCCCCCGCCCTCCTCTCCCACTTCCGAAGTTGCCCCAGCAGAGGCCGGCGGGGACGCCGTCCGAGCGGGGGGCACCGCCCCCTCGCCTGCCCAGCAGCAGCGTGAATGCGGCGACGCGGACTGTCAGGAGCCCCCCGAAAACCCCTGTGACTGTCATAGGGAGCCGCCCCCTGAAGCCCCAGACATCAATCAGCTGCCGCCCTCCATCCTGCTCAAGGTGGGTCTGGACGAGTGGCGCGGGGATGTGCGCTTCCCCCAACCTCGGCCCCCCACCTCGGAGATTTTCTCTCCTCCCCCTGAGCGCGGAGGAGGGGGTTCCCTGACAGCTAGAGACGTCCGAAGGGCAGATTGTGAAGCCAATGGGGAGGATTCTTATGGACTGTTTTTTGAAGCAGAAAAACTTGAAGTCTACTGAATGTCTTTTAGTAACTTGCGTCTGTTACGCACAATTTAGGGTTCATCTATTAGATTCCCAGCCCAGTGGTTTAGAAACCATTCGTAGGTTTTCTGTGAAATATTTTCATCAGTTGAGCAATTTAGACTTACTGGGTAAAGACTTTGTATACATATTAGTATTTGAAAGTCTTCAAACAGTACTTTCAGATTTGGTAGTTGCTAGTTGATGTCAATAACAGTTAACATTCATTGAGCATTTACTGTGATGAGGCACTGTGCCAGAGCTCTATATACATAATATCTCATTTAATCCTCCAGTTACCGCTGTGAGATAAATATTGTAAAACCTTTACTTTATACAAGAAGAAACTGGCATTTCGATGCTGTATACCCACAATAGTAAGTCAGGCAGAAGTTTCCTTTGCTCTTATGGAGCTTACAGTCTAGTGGAGCTTGAAGAGGTTGAATGACTTGTCCAAGGTTACACACAGAAAGTAAGGGGCAGATCTGGGTCTTGAACTGGAGAATTTAGGCCTGCCTGACTTGAAAACCCTTTTGTTTGTGCTATGTTCTATTGCCTTTCTACATTTTAACCCTTACCTGAAAGCATACAGATTACTAGAAGGTAAGGACAGATGTATTTTTTGTTGGGGAAATTGATGAGTTGAGGTGGGTGTCCTGTGGGAGCTTTGTTTCACATTGAACTACTAAGTAAATTTTGCAGTTTTGCTGATGCTAGTGACAAACTTAATTATGTGATAGAGCTTGTATTGTTATTATTAACGAGTTCTTTCTCATCATTTTCTCTCTTCTTCCTTCTCGCCCACCCAACACACCTTTTTAAAGCTTAATAAATATAAACGTCCTGTTCAGTGTGGATGCTATTTAAGACTAGCCAAAAATAACCTAGGTAAGAGTTTGTCTACTTCTATTGTTACGGAAGTAACTGCCATCAATTACAATTGTTACTGTCACCAGTATACTTACTTTGTTTGGTTAGACATTTTGCATATCTGTAATCCTGTGTGTTTGGATCTGTTTCATTGTGGTATTAATGTTCTTGTGAATAATACAGCAAAAGAGTGGGAAAGCTTAATTTTTCCTTCTGTCAAAATGTAATAATTTAATTTTTATTGAGGTATACTTTTTCGAGGAGTAATTGGCTCCTCTGTGTGTTCAGGATATGCATTTTTAGGGCAGAGGGAACTTTCTTGAATCCTCTAAGTCAGTGGATGACATGGACAAATATCAACAAATATTTGGTCTAGAGGTTTGATTACTGTCTTGTTATTGGGCAAGTAAGACTGTTTAAAACTAACCCAAAACAAAAATCAGGTACTTTCTGCTTAAACTATTATTTCATAAGTTAGAGAATATTGACATATTAAAAAAAGGAAAGAGAAAAGGAGGAAGGACACGATCTCATACTAAAGAGAATAAGAGAATGGCTATAGAATAAATTTATTCTGTCTGCTACATTGTTCTTCCTCACATTTTTGCTGTTGACTGTTGAAGACTTGGTCTAAGGGATATTTCAGAATTACACATTGGACTAGCCCTGTTGTGTTGGGGTATTTGGATGTATTGTGTAGATTTCCATTCCTTGTATTAGAAGCTTGAATAAAGATTTTTTTTGTGGGTCTCGTGGTCCTAGTGAGAGCATGAAGTGAGCATGGTCCTCACTTCAGCATGAGGTGAGTTGGACTGTTTGGAGTGAATTGAAATAGAGGTTTCTCAGTGTTTACCAATCTCAGTAGAACTTTTAAGGATAAGGCTTTTGGGGATAGAGGCTCTGTTGACATAGATCTTGTTCATTGCTCTGTCCCTTCCCCTAATTGCAGTGCGTGGTGTTTAGTAGCATTCAGTAAATATTTATGAACAGAGGAATGACTAGGTGTTGAGGAAGTCTGGACTGAGACTCTGGGTGAATATGCTATGCCACTAAGATAAGTCACTAAGAAATGTTTATGGTCTCCCTTGAGTTGTTGTTTTGAGCCACGGTAGAGTTATGTGATGGTGAAAGGATTCTGGCTCTGTTTCTGGTTAGAATTGAGGTGTTTGGCTTGGAGAAGAGAAAACTTGGGGATCTTGGACATTTTTTTTTTTTAAACAATATTATAGGGGCCAGCCCGGTGGCGCAGCAGTTAAGTGCGCATGTTCCGCTTCTCGGCTGCCCGTGGTTCGCCGGGTCCGATCCCGGGTGCAGACATGGCATAGCTTGGCAAAAGCCATGCTGTGGTAGGTGTCCCCCATATAAAGTGGAGGAAGATGGGCATGGATGTAGCTCAGGGCCAGTCTTCTTCAGCAAAAAGAGGAGGATTGGTAGTAGTTAGCTAATCTTCCTCAAAAAAAAAAAAAATATTACAAGGGTTGTTGCCCAGAGAGGCACAAATCCATTGGAAAACATTCTTAGAAAGTTTCACCTGTTTCCTTGATAATGAGTCAATAGTCTTTATAGTTGTATTGGTGCATTTTTGTACCAGAAATTACTATAGTTGTAAAAAAGAGGGTGCAGAGGAGGGAGAGTTTGGGAGGAAATGTGATTTAAAGGATGTTTTTAGGGAAAGCTACCGTACTTGCCCAATTTTTTGCACGTCTGGAGAAGGCAAAAGACAAAAACTAAATTTTTTCTGTGGTGCTTCATAAGCAGATTTTTGGCTCAATATCAACAAGGCCTATTCCTTTTTGATTTTATTTCTATGTAAGTATTAAGTGTTACTTGCTTTAAATTTAAGTAATGCAGGTAAAGCAAAAGTTTGCCTTGGTTCACTCCTACCCTCCCATGTAGTTTCCTCTCCAGAGGTAACTAACGCTATTACCAGTTTAGATTGTTCTTCTAGACTTGCCGTGTTAAGTATGGTAGCCATATGTGGCTATTTAAATTTAAAGTAGTTAAAATAAAATTTAAAATTCAATTTTTCAAACACAGTAGCCACATTTCAGAGATCAATAGTCACATGTGGCTGGTGGCTACTGTACTGGACTGTGCAGATCCAGAACATTTCCATCCTTGCAGAAAGACCTGTGTAAATCTTCATAGCTTTTTTCATAAGTGGCATCAAAATGTACATGTTGTGTAATTTTCTCTTTCTTTTTTTGGTTAACTGTATGGTTTGAAGATGATTCCTTATTAGTAAGTATATGATTTCCTTCATTCTTTTTAACTGTGGCATATAGTATTATACCATACTATATTTCTTTCTCTATTAATCGATGCTTCCAATTTGTCGCTACTACAAACAGTGCTAATAGATGTTTTCTTTGCACGTGTGGTCGTATTTTTCTAGGGTAGATTTCAAGAGGTGAAATTTCAGGGTTGAAAAATGTGTATTTTTGGAAATTTAGAAGGTCCTTTGGAATGTGTATTTTTGGAAATTTAGAAGGTCCTTTCTAATAATAAGAGCTGTGTAAAAATGGAATTTATTTCTTTCTTGAAATAGTGGGCCTCACTGGAAATCATTATGTACCTTCAGAACAGGAAGAGACCTTATTTGTCATCTGGTCACTCCCCACTTCTTATGCGTGAAGAAACAGGCCTGAAGAAGTGAAATGGCTTATCCCAGGACGTTTTAGATAGTGAATGGCAGACCCTGGGCTGGACCCAGCTCAATGTTTCCAGGTCTAGAGATCTTTTCAACATATTGTATAAGAGGGCCTGAGTAATCTCTCTGAGATTTTATGAAAGAGATTCCTGAATTGGGGAGGCGGGGAGGAGTTTACACCAGATGACTTCTAAGCCATTATGAGTCAGAGGCTAATTTTATAATTGGGTCTGTAAGGTTGAATTGCGGTCTTTAAATATAAGAAATTTGAGAAGCAGGGAATGACTCTTCAAAGGTCAACTGTGGGAATAGTATTTTCTTAAGTACTTAAGCCTGTTACAGTTGCTCTCTGACTGGTTAATGGATTGTTTTGGATTAAATAAGGTAGCTTCAGTCTTTGCTACCTGTTGCCTTAAAAGCAACCCTGACTACTGGTATCGCAATTAGATTTTTGTATAGTGGAACCAGTATGCAACAGTTTTACCAAATGATAGCAGTAGAGTATTTTTCTTCAGTAACTGGGTATTTCGAGACCCATATTTAAATTTTAGAGACCGTGTGTGCTGTATGTTTAGATGTCTTGCTGTCAGCAGACTACTTTCTTTCCAAAGGAAACCAGGTGAGAGATCCAAAATCCATCACCGTGATTAGAAAACCACCTTACCATGCATGCATCCCTGATAATGAGTCAGTACGTATTACATTTTTGCTTTCTTTTTTTAAAGGTTGGCACCTGAGCTAACAACTGTTGCCAAACTTTTTGGGTTTTTTTTCTGCTTTTCTCCCCAAATCCCCCTGGTATATAGTTGTATATTTTAGTAGTGGTCCTTCTAGTTGTGGCACATGGGACGCCGCCTCAACATGGCCTAATGAACAGTGCCATGTCCACACCCAGGATCTGAACTCTGGGCCGCTGAAGGGGAGTGTGCGAACTTAACCACTCGGTCACGGGGCTGGCTCCTAAAGTTTTGTTTTTACAGCTTTATTACCAACAGGTTGTTTTAGTTTGCAGGGAAGAGTTTTATAAGAGAAATGTGCTTTGGAGGAAAGCTTATATATCCGATCTCTTTTTTTTGGATATGAATACAAGGATGAAAGCTATAGAAATGGGAGTCAAAGAAAAAAGCAGTACTACTTTTTAAAGCTTTGGATGTAGATTACTAGTGGGTAATAGGAAGTAAGTTCCATGTAGCATTTCATGAATGCTTGACTTAAGGCTCCAGTACCTGATAACCTCTAGAAGGTATGTCTCTGGACTTCTAGGGATGGTTTAAATAAG